ACAAAGGATGAGATGGTTGGATGGTATCACCAACTCAATGGACATGAGTTTGAGTAAGCTCCAGGAGTTGGTGATGGACAAGAAGGCCTGGCATGCTGCAGTCCATGGGGTCTCAGAGTCAGACATGGCTGAGCGACTGAACTGACTGAAAAAAATTCAAAACAAATTAAAAAAACAAAAGAATAGCCTTAAGTGCAAAAGGTCTGTATATGCTAGTAAAGGCTAGAAAAGTAGCAAAGGTAAGAAAGAACAACACATAACCAACAGTATAGTTTCAAAATCAGAGTCAGACCTAATGAGGCCTGCTGAAGCCTTATTTATTCTTTCCTTTTGGCAGCTGTCACCACGTTCACACTCTCTTGCACACTGCTCTTGGAGCTTTCATGCAGCCACACTGCCCTGACTTTGCTCTCAGGGTGGGCTTCCGTCCTCCTTGACTGGACCTGCCCTGATTCCTTCCTGGGTTCTTCATACAGGGTGCCCACAACATCCAAATATTAGTCACCCCCTCCCCAGCCCTCCTATCATTGCCAGATACACTGGCTTAAGGCCTGCTTGACACATACCTCGAATTTATCCTGTGCAGACAAACATAGCCTCTTCATCTTCCACATTATATCTCCTTGTCTACACTCAATGCAGAGATCAGGAGCTCTTCAGAGATTCTCCTCGGCTTCTCCACACACACCCAAACCCAAGCAAGCCTGCAAGATCTCTTTCACACCCAGTTCTTCTCTGCAGCTCCCCTGAGCCCACTCCATCCAGACCACCATCACTGCCCCTCCTAGCCTCGGCAGCTTCCTTACAGCAGCCATCAGGATCTCCCTCAGTGGCTTCCTACTATTCCCCCCATGGTTTTATATCTTCACATTTTCCCTTGGAACTCAAACTTCATGCCACGGCATGGGAGCGTCCTCACCAGCCCTGCCCCTGTCTTCTCACCTCATTTCCCACTGTTCACCCCAGGCTTACCACACTGCAGCCACATGGGCCTTCATCACACACACACTGAGCTCTTTCCTGCCAGAACATCTGCAAATACTTACTCCTCTTCCTGAAATTTATCATCCCTGATCTTTATATGCCTGGCTTCTCTCCATCTTGGTCTCAGTTTGAATCCTACTTGCAGACTGCTATATCCAAAGTACACCCCTCAGAGTGGAGAAAATGGAACCCTCTTGCACTGTAGGTGGGAGTGTAAATTGGTGCATCCTCTATGGAGAACATTACAGAGATTCCTTAAAAAACTAACAGTAGAGCTACCATATGATCCTGCAATCCACTCCTGAGCATATATCCAGAGAAAATTCGAGTTTGAAAAAATACATACACCCAATGTTCATTGCAGCACTATTTACAATAGTCAAGACATGAAAGCAGCCTAAATGTCCACTGACAGAGGAATGGATAAAGAAATGTGGTATGTATATACAACAAATATGCCATAAAAAATAATGAAAAAAATAAAAATTAAAAAAAAATAATGGAATAATGCCATTTGCAACAACATAGCTGGACCTAGCAATCATAATACTAAATGAAGCAAGTCAGACAAAAACAAATACCATATGATATCATTTATAAGTAGCATATTAAAAAAGGATACAAATGAATTTATTTACAAAACAGAAGCAGATCCACAGACAGAAAACAAATTTGTGGGTACTAAAGGGGAGGGTGAGGAGGGGTACATTAGGAGATTAGAATTAACATACACACTCCTATTAATATATATCAAATAGATAAAAATAAGGTTCTACTGTATAATACCAATATAATACTACTATACTCAGTATTTTATAACACGTATAAGGAAAAAGAATCTGAAAAAGAATATTTGTGCATATTACACACAAATGTATATATATTTATGTAAATATATATACATATATTAACTAAACCACTGTGCTATAACCTGAAAAACTAACAACATTGTAAATCAACTGTACTTCAATTAAGAAAACAGCTAAGTACACTTGTCAAGTTACTCTGCCTCACTCTCCTTTATCACCTTGGTGCCTCACAGTGCCAAGCCCATCACTAATAAATATATGCTAAATAAAATAACTGCCTTAAATTTAATGGCCCATAATAATGTAGTTTTCACTTATAAGCATTAAATATTTGCTAAATAAATAAATAATATAGATGATTACTCACATTATTTCTTAAATCCTATTCCTGTTACATTTAATGTAATATGGGGTATTTTTATGTTTAACAAATGAAAAGAAAAAAAATACCTAAAATTTATTCAGTAACTCTGGCAAATCAAAGCTTTCCATCTTTAGATTAAAAGACATAAAGAATATACAATAAAATAGATTACAGATAGAGAAGGTATAACTATTTGCAGGTCCTGTCTACAAAAATATAAATCATCATACTGACAATGATTAATTACCTGGCTTCAATGTCATTATTAAAGGATATCTGTCTATAATGTTCCAATTGAAAGTCAGGAATACTCTTTTAATTATAGGCAATTCTATACATTTAAAATCTACTTTAAACACGACACTGTAAGTCAACGATACTGTAATAAAAAATTTTAAATAAATGCAATCTACTTCCAATTTTGAAAAAGAATAGGCAAAAAAGCATTTATACTAATTCCAAGGGACAAAATAAGACTGGCCTAAAAAACTTACAATTAACAATGCATTATTGTTAATTAAAATAACAATCAATACAAGAAAAACCACAATCATTTTAAAATTTGGATAAGTGGATCTATACAAAGTATGCAAAAAAAAAATTTGGAGAAATGTAATATTTTATCCTAATGAATGAACATGGATATATGATAAGAAGGAAATATTTAAATATTTACTAATAACAATTAATGTTGTAAGTAAGTAAAGTCGCTCAGTCATGTCTGACTCTTTGCGACCCCATGGACTGTAGCCCACCAGGTTCCTCAGCCATGGGATTTTCCAGGCAAGACCACTGGAGTGGGTTGCCATTTCCTTCTCCAGGGGATCTTCCAGTCCTCAAATAATATAAAATATCCAGGATTCAGTCTCTCTGAGTCAAAGAACAAGGAAATAAATTTAGTCAACCAAAAGAAAAGAATTCCAGAAATAAAGACGTTCCTTGGAAGAAAAGCTATGGCCAACCTAGACAGCATATTTAAAAGCAGAGACATTACTTTGCTGACAAAGGACCATCTAGTCAAAGCTATGGCTTTTCCAATAGCCATGTACAGATGTGAGAGCTGGACCATAAAGAAGGCTGAGTGTTGAAGAATCAATGCTTTTGAATTCTGGTGTTGGAGAAAACTCTTGAGCATCCCTTGGACACAAGGAGATCAAACCAGTCCATCCTAAAGGAAATCAGTCCTAAATATTCATTGGAGGGACTGATGCTGAAGCTGAAGCTCCAATACTTTGGCCACCTGATGTGAAGAACCGACTCATTGAAAAAGACCCTGAAGCTGGGAAATATTGAAGGCAGAAGAAGGGTATGACAGAGGATGAGATGGTTGGATGGCATCACCAACTTGATAGACATGACTTTGAGCAAGCTGCGGGGATTGGTGAAGGACAGGGAAGCCTGGCATGCTGCAGTCCATGGGGTCGCAAAGAGTCAGACATGACTGAGCAACTAAACTGAACTGAAACCTCTTAGACTAATGAAAGCTCTTACCTCATTTTCCATTTCTTCAAAGTCTAAGGGCTGTGAATTACATAAGGACTGAAGCTATAGTTTCTGATTAGAATAAGCCACACACTCTACATGCAGTTCCATATTTGAAATGTCAACATATGACAACATAGCCTCATATTTTGGCTTCCAAACTGTTTTGAATGTAACCTACAGGTAGAAACAGATTTTCCTGCAGCCTGTACATACAAGCCTATACCTCTACATGTAAACAAATTGAAAGAAATATCAACAATAGCTACCCACTGGTTGGAATAATAGAGTCTGATGGACGCTTTACATCCTTACCGTCATATTTTAAAAACAATCATCAGCACATTATCCTTTTAAGGTTTATTTCTAATTTATTTTTTGGCTGTTTGGGGTCTTCACTGCTGCATGTGGGCTTTCTCTAGTTGCAGCAAGCGGGAGCTACTCTCTGGTTGCGGCACTTGGTCTTCTCATTGTGCCGGCTTCTTCAGTTGCAAAACACAGGCTCTAGGCACACAGTCTCAGCAGTTGCGGCTTGTGGGCCCTAGAACACGCCGCCTTCAGTAGTTGCAGCATGCCAGCTTATCAGCTGTGGCTCCTGAGTCGCAGAGCATGAGTTCAGTGCTTGTGGCACAGGGGCTTAGTTATTCCACAGCAGATGGAATCCTTCCACCTCAGGGATCAAACCTGTGTCCCCTGGACTGGTAGGCAATTCTTATCCACTGCACCACCAGGGAGCTCTCTTACTATCCTATTTTTAAAATGCTGTTTGCTAATAACAAACAAAAACAAACAAACAAACAAAAATACAATGCTGGTTTCTATCCACTAATTCCCCAGATCACTATTGGGCCCTGACCTTTATTTTAAAAATAATTACCCTAGTAACTGTTATGGTTGAATAAATTATATTAAATATATATACATACTTTGATTGTGTCAGAACCCAACAAAGTCTGTAGGGAACTTGAAGGAGAATCAGAAGAATGCTAGGAAAAAAAAAAAAAAAAGGACAAGCTTAGGATGCATCCAGCCTCGTCAAGCAGAGGGAAATGAAGTGAAGCGAAGCAAAGGTTTGAATTGCACGGTCTAGTCTAAGGCATTACCATGGACAAGGAATCCTGTAAGACCTTATCAATGGTAGCACAGAGCTCTTCAGTTTGCTGCCTGAGCTGTGCAGGGGAACACAACTGGAAGAAGTGAAACCAGGCACTGGGTTAGCAGAGAGTTTCGGGGTTGTATTTCAAAAGCAGGGCTGGATCTGAAGCCATTACCTCCAGAGGTGGGTCTAAGGTGTTGTCCTTAGAAATGCTGTCCGTCTTGACTGGTTCGTCTAGTGCCTAGTGATAATAAATGAAATGGTTCTCACATGAGGTTTTTAGTCAAATATACAGATAGTAAAGTCTGAATTCAAAGAAAGCTTTGGATGTCTCAATGTTTCCAAGAATAATCATCTTTGAATCATTTCATGAGCTGCTGTCTGACATGGAGGCATTGCCCACAAATGTCCACCTTCTGCTATGGAAATAGTACTTCCAATATAAGAAAGCCCGTAGTTCCTGTGGGCACAAGCCCCATTGGTGCCCCTCTGGCTTTTCAAGGTAAACATTTGAGGGGCTTTTCCCTTAGGTGGGAACCTTAAAGATTGGGACATTCTATGTCCAGCCTAAAATCTAACGGAGGAGCTGGGAGCTGGAGTCACCCCCCAATTGTTTGACACTGTACCAGGGGCAGGGTTAATGGCAAGAGTGTATCTCAGCCCTTCCTGCCAGGTTTGATGTGGGTATTTTCTTATTAATCTGAAATGTTGGAGTCACTCAGGTGGGTTCTGGATTTCTCTTGGAGGGAATTTCTCCACGTGCAGTTTGCACATTCGGCATATCACTGGGAGGAGAGGTGTTCAGAAGCCATCCACACTGCCATCTTGGTCCCTCTCCTTCATCATGTCTAATATTTGTGTCTACCTGCTTTTTGCTTAATCAAATTCCAGGTAGGATTATCCATTTCTAATCTCTTAATTGGACTAATTTTTGGCTTTGACCTTTGTCATACTCATTCCATTTCAGTCATTTCTGCTTATGACTCATTATTTACTTCTTTATATAGTTTTTGAATTTATCCTTTTTTCCCTCAAAGAATCCTTTTTGTGGCATTCTGCAAGTTGTGATATGTATATGATCACTATTATACAATGCTAAACATAATTTTAAATATTTCCATTAAGTTTCCTTAGACTTAGGAGTTACTTAAAAGTAGTTTTTCTTTCTAATTTTTAGGAATATAAGTTTTTTATCCAATTTTTAAATTACTACTCATTTAGTTAGAACCAAAGAATTTCTTCAAAATAGTAGTTTCTTATGTGGTTTGAGATGTATGGTATAAGACATGGAAAGTTTTATGTAAATATTCCATAATATCTTCTCTAATTATTGGCTGCAGGGTTCTATGTGTATGTGTGTGTATCCATCAGATCAAAATTTTTCACTGTTTTTTTCAAATCATGTTTAGCTTTATTGCATTCTTATGCATGCCTATTAACTGAAATCATAAAATATGACATAATTGTTAATTTCTCCTTGCGATCTTAGAACTTTTGCTCAATGTAGTTTGAAGTCATTTTATTAGCTACCTTCATAATTAGAAGCATACCTTCTTCATGAATTAAATATTTGTATTTATGAAGTGTCTCTCCATATCTATAACAGTACTTTAGGTCTTAATCTCTATTTTGCCTGATACAATCAAATGTGTGTATTAGTACTTTTTACTATATCATTGCCTTTTTATTTCCAACTCTCTGCATCCAAGCATTAAAAATCAGTGTTTTTCATAAATGTCTGGAATTCATTTCTTAATCTGATCTAATAACATGTATCTTTTAATATAAGCTAACATTTATTATCATTTGTTTCTAAAATATATTTGTTTTACCTTTGTCTCACTTTTTCTATTTAATTTTTATTCAGATTTTGAATTGTTTAATTGATTAAATCTAATAAATTTAATTTACTGTAATTTATTTTTTTCCCTGCACTAATTTGGATATCATGCTAGACAAGGCTTAGGTTCACCAAATTACTTCATTTTCTCAGGCAAGGATATACATTTCCTTGAACTTAAGAACTGAGGGCTTGTGACTGACTTGTCCTAAGTGATGTGAGCAAAGGTGATGCATAACTTCTGATGAAAGTCGCTTAAGGGTGGATATGACTTTTCATCATCCTCTCTTTCTTCTTCAGATAACTGAAAACATGAGGTGGAAAGAGACTACATCACTGAGCCACGTTGTATCACCAAGGTGAGCTGTACCCCATTGTGATGTGGGAGAAAATAAATATTTACTGTGTTAAACTAACTCCCTTAGTTCAATAACACAAAAAAAATTGTCTAGAAGCTATTTTTTCAAAATCCATTCCCTTACATTAAATAAAACACTAGCTATGGTCACCTAATAAAAATGCTTGAGCTTTCCTTTTTCCTACCATAAAAAATGTATCTCTTTTCTTCTCCTCCTCCTCCATCCTTCCTACTTAAAATTAATTATGCATAATAGATAGCAGGGAACAGAAAATATCATAGAGACCACTCCTTGTTGTTGCTCAGAAAATTTAATTTTTCCTCGACATGGTGTTCTAACCACTTCCTATTTACCCCATGGGCTGGGGTGAGGGAGGGGAAGGGGTTCCCACTCCACAGTGATAGGGCCCCTGAATACATGACCCTGGGCGGGTGAAATCAAGCTCAGCGCAATACTCAGAGGTGGGCATGGCCCAGGGAACAGAGTCTGTCTTCCATCAGGGCCGCAGGAAAGTAGTGCTCAGGAAAGAGTGAACAAGCAGAGGCTTTGTAGGATCGAGTGAGATGGCCCTGGTTCCTTAGAAGGCTATGGTCACCTTGACTGAACAGTATGCACTGCACCTGGTCGGTTTGATAGGGAGGGTTGGGGGACCATGTCTGGAGAAGCAGAATGGGGAACAGAGCTTGTAATTAAGCTATCTGAGTCCCTCCCAGTTCTACCAGATGCCAAGCACATAATATTGGGCCTTAGTTTTAGGCTTTACATCACACATGGCTTCCATGATAATAATTATAGAAAAGAGAAAAGTCAGAAATTAATGATCAGAATTAGGAACAAACTCCTTAGGAGAGAAGTCTGGTCCAGCCCTTCCTTGCCTCTCCACCATCACCTTCTAACCAATCCTCCCTTGCCTGCTGCTCTTTAACCACAAGGGACTTGGGTTTTTGAACTTGTGTTAACCTTCCAATCACATGTCATTAACTCTGCCTAGATGGATCTTTCCTCCACAGTCAGCTAACTTAGAATTCCTACTCACCCTAAAGATCTTAATCTAAGTCCTTCATAATGGTTTTTGGCATTTGAACCAGGCAAAGTCTTTCACTCCATCCTTAAGATGCCACATCATTCCACACATGACTTAAACATATTGTATCATCATTATTCTTCAACTGTATCTCTATCCTACTGGACCACTTCTCCCACTACAATTATGTAACTGTGGTATTTATCTTGGTAGCCTCAGGATACAGCACATGACATGTCCTCAGTAAAGATATTTAGGATGAAATGGAAGGGTAAACTGACAAATAAATGGAATTAAATGAACCGTAGAAAGAATATGATTTCAATAAGCCTCAGTAAAATGCTCTAGAGAAGGAGGTTGAACTCTGAAAATTTTAAATAATAACTTATTTTCCCACATTTCAATTAAATTTGTTTACCATCAAAGATCTGAGTATGTGATCAGTTTAATATAATGTGCAAATATTTTTTCAGCCAAAATCAAATAGGGTTATTATCCTGGTTACTTCGTAGGAACTTACTAAGCAAACACATCCTTTATTATGCAACTTAAAACACTGATGTTTACTTAAGGAATAAAAAAACTATCTACTCAGAATGCTTGGAAAATTAAGGATAACTAGTATTATTAATATATCAGCAATGCTGAAACCTTGAAATGAAGACAATATTCAAATTGCATTAAAATTTGGAGGGGGGATTATTTTGAGTTTAAATAGCCTTGAAATTTTCTAGAATTGACTTTTTATTGACAAGGAGTTCTCTGTCAAGTATATCATCTTGATCCACTCCTCCTAGCAGACTTTTTTTTTTCCTCTGTGGTACAAAATGTATTAAAAGAAAATACATTAAATCTCTATTAACATGAAATGTGACCATAGATTGCTTTTTGACAACTTAGCAGGACTGTATTGATGTTTCTTATTTAAGTGAAGTTCTCTCAGAATACTCTCCAGTAAAAGGTTTTATAAAAACATGTATTTTCTACCAAATTGGAAGATAGCCAAGCAAGGCATAAAGGGAACATATTTTGAATCCTATTTTTAAAGGTTCTTAAGTAATGGTTAGAAGTATTCTGATTAAAAGTTGTTATATTTTGCTCTGCACAGCCAACTTTGGGGCCCAGTTTTTGAAAAGAGACATAGTCTCTTTTTGACTTTTAGAAAAAAATAGTTTCTGAATTCAGTATGATTTTCTAATTAAGGGTCAAGAACCAAGAACACCATTGAAAATCAGTCTTCACGAGTTATGCCTATGCATTGTAATAGGTGTTCCTCATCCCAAAGCAGCAGCTCTCATGGAACCGCAATCCCTGTTAAGTAAGACATGTTAAATCAGCAGACTGATTAGAACCTGCTCTCTTTAGAAATAGGATTAAGTGCTAAAAATCTGAAAACAGTAGAATTAGAAAGTAAATTGTTTCCAAACAAAAACTTATCTAAAAGGACTGGTAAACTTTTTGTGATGCCACAACTTGCTAACTGGATTGGATTTCAAAAATGTCATGGATAAGTACTGTATTTTAGTAATGACAAAATTAACCTCCCAAAAAACAATTCAGGCAGAACCCAAATGTTGCTATACTTAGTTAACCTGAGCAGGAATTTGGTAGAAAAATCCTTTAACCATAAAAGATTTGCTTGATTTTCAGTCATTAATACAAAATCATTTGTAAGACTGGAGATATTCTCAGGCAAATAAATCTCATTTTGATTCTCTAGTCGGAGAATAGCTTTCAGACCTGAAGAAAGGGGGAAAATGTACACTGTAAGCCAAAGGGGTTTCCATTATAAAAGTACAGCTTCTTTAAAGATCAAGGAATATTTATCAGTAGACTATTTTCATGTGATTGGTTTAAAAATTTCAAGAATTGAGGAAATTTACTTGGTGTTTTTAATCCCAAGCTCTTTGGAGGGTTAAATATCTGTTCCTCGCACACAGAAGGAATGGATTTTTGGCAAATCATTAGGCTAGTTTCAAACCCACTCATCAAGGCCCAATGGCAAAGCCTCTGGACTT